TATATATATATATATATATATATATAATATTTAATTTACATATATTTTGATGTGTGCATGATTGAAAAATATATAAGCACATCTGCACATGCAAGGTCACATGCATGAAGTCGAAAGAGACATGCAGAAATGGAAATTTCCAAATTTTGTGACATCTAACTAATATTCAATGCACGCTATATATATATATATTTTTTTGAAAATTGGGCATCTTTATATAAAGATGAAAGAGAAAAACATGAATTAATAGGAAAGATTGGCAATACCACAATAGTAGGTCAATTTACATCGTTACGATTTATTTGATGCCACACTCGATGAAATATATTGGGTGATTGTTAAATATTAACCATTAATGATCTGCGCATAATTATACATACATCTAAGTATATGTGTGCTCAGTCGAAAGTTATTCCACCACGTTAATAGTTAAAAATTACCCAGTGTACTTCATCGGATAAACGAAATGATTATATTTACATGACTTACATTAGTCATGAAAATCATAATATGCTAGTGATTGATAAAAGTGAATAAGTGGATTAGTGATCTATCTTTTATTGTGTGGCTCCACATATATGCATGTTTGGTTTTTGGAGCATAAAGGTAGAAAAAAGTTTCAATCATGGCACCAATGATATGTGGATAACTATTAGGGTCATTCCTATTAATTAATCTAAAATTTTTATGGCACTAATTTTTGCAGTATATATTTCTATTTCATTTTTATATGCTATTAGTTTTGATGAGGGTCAGTTCGGTAATATTGGGCCGATGTGAACTAAGCCCATCAGGCCAAAGCCCGATGAATGGCAAGTATCGAGATAAACGAAAGTTTTCGCTATAAGAAGGCTCAAATGATAAAGAAAGTCGCCGATAGATAACTCCTGCGTAAAGTCCACTAACATTTATGGTGTGATTTTTCAAATAATCCTTTTGAGTCGTGGGATATCGAAAAAATGCCGATTTTATCCCTGCAACATTTTTAGGACACAAATTTAAGTTTTCGGGGCCTTTACACGAAATTTTTATTCTTCTTAAATACCAAAATCACAACCTTTTGGTATCACGATTACCCCTTTGAGATTATTTTTTGTTTTAAAAAAATTAACATAAAGAAATGTTACGTTTGCTTGCATAAAATTAGCAATTTTCACGAAATATTCACCGGAATAAAAAAGATTGTATGAAAAATCATATGATAAGGAGGTCGATGTAAGACAGGAAACAAATGTCGGGGGTGGGGTGAGGATTGATAATTACTAATATGTGGGGTTTTTTTCATAATTTAGCCTAAGTTTAGGGGTTTCTTCGTAAATTACCCAAAAAAACTAGTAGAGAATCTGGAAAATAATAGCCGATTGAAGCTGCACCGGCGGCGATCGTGTGGCGGTGCTGATCATAAACGCCTCCGTAATCAGAGCCATTGTTCGTGTTCTCGATCTCCTCCAATTGATTCCACGTCTTCGTTTGCGCCACTGAATGGTAAGTCCACATGTATATACACACAACTTAATTGAGTTTCGTTAGATTATTTAATCTTATCTTGGCAGCAACCAAACGAGGCCTTACTTGATTAGCTTCTCCGAAATAGGAGTTCAGCCAATAGTATCACTTGGAGAATTCTGTTTCTGCCAACCTATGGAAATCAATGACACGATTACGTTTGCAGTTTCTGGTCAGTTGCAATATTCTCCGTATTCCGATCATTACGCTAGTAGCATCTCAGAAGTTCCGATACGAACATCTGAAAAAGAATCCGGAAAAAAGTAAACCTATGTTACACTTTTATTTTATTAAGGTTTCCCATAGCACAAGCACTTGTCGTGGAAGGAAAAATAGTCGAGCGTATTTGGTGTTGAATTGATATATTACAGTTGGTTTGATAACTGACATTTCGATCCTTCCCGACACGAGGGATGAAATTTCGAAGTTGTCGTAGTTCGTATACAAATAGCCAAACTACGATCGGTCATTAACAATTATTTTTTATTTGATTTTTGGTTGTTAAGAACTTATAAGCGGTGATTAGTTAAACAATTATGTCTTATTTGATGTTTGGTTAATGCATTAAACTTTTCGGGGGTGGGCCCACAATCATCACCGATGACTGCTCGACTCTTTCTAATCATCTAAATATTATTACAGCGATGGATATTGAAATACTTTTATAGGTTGTGTTGCACCCATTCAGTACCTATCGTTAGTCAACCTTTTACCTTCCGGAAGTTGTGAAGGAGCCGTCGAACTTTCGATTGTCAGCTGCTGGAAATTGACAAGGCAACAGAAAGCCATTTAAAGATTTATTGGTAAGCTAAGAACTCTTGATGCAACGTTGCTTTTTCCTTCGATCACTTCTCATCGAAATATATATAGTTATCGTAACTGGAAAATAAAACCCGGATTTTTTTTTTTTGAACTTCAATAATTTATGATCGTACTCTGTATGTGAAAAACGAAAATGTGAGCTCGATGCGGAAATCAAGAAGCTGAATCCGTAATTAAAACAAGAAAAAGGAAAAATTTCTATCTTATTATGTACAATATACGTGTAAGTTTCGAGTCTTGATTTTCATGATGTATTTCCGGTGTGTGTTTTTATCGAGAACCATCACTTTGGCGGCGGCAAAGCTGGCGGTGGATGCGACTCAACCAATATAGACCAAAGTACATGCACATCTTCGTAAGGGCAGGACTTGACATCTTCGTAAAGTATGTATATGCCTCTCCCTGAGAAAAATCGACAAGTGAGTAAGCTTCGTATATTTATTCCCTAAACAATGTCGTCGTGATCACCTAGTTTCGTCTTTTATTGCATGTGAATGTACTTTACGCAACTTTATTACAATCCACAATAGACACTACTAACAAATAACAAATCTTCATATAAAAAACACTATAGGTTTTCAAGAAGTCGTAGGGGGGCCATTGCCCCCCATGATCGTGTTGAGACTTCGAAGTAGATTATCAATGTATCGAAACACGAAAGAACTTAAAAAAAAAAAAGAGAGAAGTAAGTAAATTGGACGGAGTTATGATCGAGAAACGTACTCTTGTTGTGAGTCGAGTGGAGACGAATCCAGAGCTTCTTCAGGGGAGAGAAAAAGGAATGAAGCCACCCCATTTGGAGAACAAGGGGATTTTTCTCATATTAGGTGAAATAAACAATTTAAGAAAACAAGGTTTTTAGAGAGAGAAACTATGGTGGTCTTTGCTTAGACAGGGGTGAAGTTTAGGTTCACTATTTCTTTTTAAAATTTGTTTTTTTTTTTTTTTTTAATTTAACAATCCCTTGCAAACCAAACATGCATGCCACGTATTCATTTTTTTTATTAATCTGCTTGGTAATATGTCTCTCTCGTACCTAGTAGACTTGTGGTAGAAGAAGCTATTTTTACCCATTGTTTTCAAGCTTTCAGAAACTACCCTTTTTATTAATTTTGTGTCCTTTGTTTCCCTTCTTTCTAAGGCTATAAATCATGTGTTTAGACAATCCCACATATTAATATTTTTCTTTTTTATTATTTAATAAAGATTTCAATTAAATATTAATTTGTAGTTGCTTGTAATTAAAATTGGTAAAAGTTGGATATTGTGTTTGGGCTTTATTATATATCCATTTTTTAGCCCAACAAAACATATGTGATATTTAAGCCCATTTACCATCACTTTATGCTCACTTGGAGAATCTCTTGGGCTCTAGTATTGCATCACTTTATTGCATAATATTTATTCGTGTACTTAATAACACACACGTATGGGTAGAAATCGGACAGAACTGATTGGAAGTAGTTTTTTTAGAAATATTTCATTTTCTCTCGGAAGTTCAAATGTGTTCCAATTTTCGTTCCAAATTTTTGGAATTCAAATATTCATTCCAATTTCGATATGCCTCGTAATCGGGGAATTTTGGAAATTATGAAAATTACATGAATTTATAATTGTTTGTTCCAAATTCGAATACAATGGGGATTTTCATTAAAAAAATCATTTCTTTTCAAAAATTTCCAACAAAATATAATAAAATCATACATTATAAAATTATATATATATAATATCAAAAAAAAAAAATCAAAATATTCGAAAGTAAAATTCGATCCAAAAGCGGAACGAAAAAATCGCGGATAT